GCGATGAGGGCTCCCCTCAGCCTCCTCTGCTCCAGGCTGAACCCCCCCAGCTCCCCCAGCCGCTCCCCAGCAGCCTGGGGCTCCAGACCCCTCCTCAGCTCCGCTGCCCTTCTCTGGACACTGGAATATCTGGAAGATCTTCCACATTACAGATAAATTCAATCAAATACACCCCAGGAGGCTCCCTCCTCTAGTAAAGGTAATGTCAGAACTGAGTTGAGCGAGGGTCAGAGTGGAAACCTGCGTGCTGCTTTGCTTTCAGGATAATATCTCCCAGTCCAGAACTTGATGGCACCTATCGTACCAGATCAGGAAAGCATCAAATTAAAAAACAGGTGGCCCTTCTTCTGCTGGCCTGGGCTGACTCTGCAGGCAGCGCACCCCGCACCCAGCAGAAGCTGTCCTGTTGGAAGCTAATCAAAGGCAAAGTGATTTCCAGACTCGCTACTTCACTGATGCAAACCTGACAGCAAACCCCGGGGGAGCTGGTGCACAGCTGCGATGTTCTCTAGCAGCCAGTTTAATGCTGCTTTTTTAGCAGGTTTTTTTCTCCCAATAGCATTTGATCGCTTGCTCACCCTTTTGTTTTCCTGTTAGGGGACAGTGAAGGCTTTGGAGAAGGAGATTATTCTTCTGAAGCAGGAACTGGCCATGCATGACAGCTTGGTAAGAAATAGGCTGCACCATCTTAGGCGGGATGTAGTTAAGGCTTTGTCGTGATCCTTGTTTTGCAGCAGGATCAGTTAACTCAGTGTCTGGTGTGACTGTATTCTTCCTTCTGCTTCCAGCACTGTCTTTCTGGATTTAGGCAAAGCTCTGAAGATCCTGCGCAGTGAGATTGTGTTGTAGCTTCAGTCCCCATCCGCTGTGGGTGTTGATTTCAGACTCTTGAAGCCCTTCTCTTATTTGATTACAATGTGAAGGGGAATGCATGGATTTCAGCGTGCTCCCAAGTCCCATGTCCTGTCAACTCAGATGATGAGAAGCCGCAATCAGAAATTAAACATCAAGCTTCCTTGGGCACAGTAGAGCGATGTCAGGCACTCGCCAGACCAGTACTTGCTTCACTTTTTGTAATTCACTGATACTCATTTGTTCACCTTTTTTTCTTAGGTAAATCGTTCTTGGGTGACTTATGACCCTCTGACTGACATCCAGATAGCAGAGATTAAGTCTCAAGTCTGTAAATACCTAAAGGGAGCCATCAATGAAATTGATGTAAGTAGCTTTCTAGTGGAGCAGGACTTATATACTGTTTCCATCCCATTTTACTCCAGGGTAGAAGCAATGAAAATCTCTCCTGAATCACAGAATCATGGAATCGTTTAGGTTGGAAAAGATCTTTAGGATCATCAAGCCCAACCGTTCCCCTACCCCTGCCATCCCACCCCCAAACCCCGGCCCTCAGCACCGCCTCTGCCCGGCTGTTAAATCCCCCCAGGGCTGGGGACTCGACCCCTTCCCTGGGCAGCCCCTTCCAGTGCCTGACAGCCCCAAGGGGAAGGAATTGTTCCCCATGGCCAACCTCACCCTGCCCTGGCACAACTTGAGGCCGGTGCCCCTCGTCCCATCGCCCCTTCCCTGGGAGCAGAGCCCGACCCCCCCGGCTCCCCCCTCCTCTCAGGCAGTTGTAGGCAGCGATGAGGGCTCCCCTCAGCCTCCTCTGCTCCAGGCTGAACCCCCCCAGTTCTGAAGAGGCTGTCTTTAATGCCAAAATTGTAATTTAATTTTATTTTTACACATTAAGGACTGTCTCCTTGTTTTCATACCATTTTTGCTTTTTTGGAAGCCTGAGGAGACTTTTGCTCAGTCCTAAACTCCTTCGAATTGGTTTATTTAGAACGTCTTTAAGAATTAGTGTCAAAATTTTGCCCTGCCGGTGTCAAACTAAATCTTTGCAAGGTGTGTTGCCAAAATACGTCCAGTCTCAGAGACACGTTCATTAGGGCAGGGTTTCTCAATTTGAAACTACCCATTGACTGCAAAATGATTGCGATAAGAAACAGCAAAAGTCCTGTGTACACAAATAGTCCTGTGGGGGCAAACAGGAAAACAAACAAAATGTAAGAAAATGAAAGTCATAAATGCACAGAGTTACCGTGAGGTTTTGTTTGGCTGTGAACAGAAGCCACTGTGACAACAGTGCAGGAGTTGCTGGAAGAGTGTTTTTCAAACAGTTAGATAGCCCATCGGTTTAAACGCAGCACTTGAGATGCTCCCTCTCGTTTCATGTAACTGTTATCGTCTCTCAAAGTCCCTGTTTTCTCCCGTCAGCAGGCAGGAGTGGAGCAGAACAGGAAGACGTGAAGGTGTCTTTTACCTGGCCTGCAAAACGTGATGTGGGTGGGTGTGGAGCAGGGAAGGTAGAGAAGGACTAAGGAGTTTCACACAGGGGAGGATAGACATTAGATCAATTCCTTCCCCTTGGGGCTGTCAGGCACTGGAAGGGGCTGCCCAGGGAAGGGGTCGAGTCCCCACTCCTGGGGGGATTTAACAGCTGGGCAGACGAGGTGCTTAAGGGCCAGGGTTTAGTGGTGGGATGGCAGGATTAGGAGAACGGCTGGGCTTGGTGATCTTAAAGGTCTTCTCCAACCCAAACAATTCTATGATTCCATGATAATCTTTTAGAGAGGGGGTCGAGGACAGAGATCGTGCATTTCATAGCTTGGTCCAGGCTCTCGGACCTTGGGAGAGCTGAGTGCCGATTCCTGCTCAGCTACAGACTGCCCCTTATTTATCTGCCCATGCCTCTGCTCATCATCTCCAAAACAGAGATAACAGCGTGGCTTGACCATACCGATTTGTTATTGTGGGTTAGAGGGCTAAAGATAGTGCTCTGGCAGTTCCAAGTACTCAGGCAGTCTTGGATGGCAGTGAAAAGTCAAGTAGCATCATAATCCACGAGGTCAATAGATGCCATCTACAGCATTTGTAAAATTCTTGTAAATATTTCATTACTTTGATAGCTGTGCGCTCTGTGGAATTTACCACAGTCTATCAGATTCCTCCCTCTGTAAAAATCTCCTCGGAATGAGCAGGGTATCCACCTTCAGCCCTACTCTGGAGTGCAGGATAATGGCAACTCTCCTTGAGCGTGGATGCCCAGCAAGCGAAAAGCAGCCCTCACAATCTGAAATATTTGAACCAGTACAGCTGATCGTAGCACAGAAATGCTTACCTGTATCTTCACTGTAAACATCTCTTCCTCAGATAGTGAACATCAGGCAAGTCCAGGAGGTGTTTAAGCAATTCAAACTGATTGTAAGGTAAGATACACAAGGTCGATACATCTCACAGTAAGATTTAGAAATTCCACCGAGCTTTTATCAGTGATATTGCCATGACATTGGTGAAGAATCATTATGAAGTACAGAGGGACCTGGCCACGTTGGATTGATGGGCCGAGGCCAACTGTATGAGGTTCAACAAGGCCAAGGGCCGGGTCCTGCCCAGGCGTGGGGCAGAGGGGCTGGAAAGCTGCCCGGGGGAAAAGGAGCTGGGGGGGTTGGTGGAGAGGGGGCTGGATAGGAGCCAGCAGGG